AAAGATGATCAAGTTCAAAAAAGCCGAATAGCCACAAGAGCCGATCGCAATAGTATGCAAAGGCCTCAAGAGCCGAATGCCCTATCGAACTTGATAAAAAAGATGACCAAGTCCAAAAAAGCCGAATGGCTATAAGAGCCGATCGCAACAGAAGGCGAAGGCCACAAGAGCCAAACGCCCCATTGAACTTGATAAAAAAGATGATCAAGTCCAAAAAAGTTGAACGACCACAAGAGCCGATCGCAACAGAAGACAAAGGTCTTAAGAGCCGAACGCCCCATTGAACTTGATAAAAAAGATGATCAAGTTCAAAAAAAAAAAAAACTAAACGGCATAAGAGCTGATAGCAACAAAAGGCTTAACGGCCACAAGAACTGATCATAACAAAAACTTAAGCATGAATAATAAAAAGAAGTGTGAAGAAAACTTCTATTAAACAAAAAAAAATTACAATAGAGGCAGGACATACCCTACACCTCCATAACAAAAAAAGAATCAAAACACATATCAACTAATCATTTGCGGGATCATCTTTGGGCTTAGCTCTACCTTTCGCATTAAACTTCTGTGCAAGAACATCAACCAGCTCCACCTTAGCTGGAGTAGAGGAGGGGGCATCAAGTGCCAAAAAAGGCAACCCTTGAGAACTCGAAGGATACTGGAGAGGAGGCAAAACCTCAGAGGCCACTTCGCCCTTCAGCAGAGCAGTAAACTTAATCTCCCTTGGACCGGCAGGGGGTTCGACATATTCCCCGGTGATCAAAAAGCCCTTTCTCAACATCGTGTTCATCAGCATCACCGTAGTCCCTCTCCTCAGAGGGAAGCTGTCCTTGAGCAAAGCCAAGTCTGAAACCCTTGGCATAGCTGAGATTTACCACTTCGGAAAATTGGTTAAACATTTTCAAACCCCCATCCTTGCAGGTTTGGATCAAGGAATTCGCTTTCCCAAGCTGAAGGCCAAGCTCAACCGCTTTGTTCTCAAGCTCCTTAGCCCTCTTATTACAATACTCAATTGACTTGAGCTGCTAAGCCTTCTCTTTTTTAGCCTCAACGAGAGAAGCCTCCAAAAAATTAACCCTCTTTTGAATGGCAGCTGATTGATTCACCTGAAGAGAATCAGCTGACAGCTTCTTTATGAAGGCAAACATCAAGAAAGAGCTCTGCAAAAAAGAAGCAAGATGTTATCAAGAAGTCAAAACAAAGAAGCAAAAGAGAGGAGTCAATAAAGATTACCTCTATGATGGACTTGGGAGCAAGGGAAAGGAGATTATTGACACTCATTTGCTACTGCAGAATCTCATCCCTAGGCAGCCACATCCCTCTGGCCAAGTCCATCAGCGTCTCCGAGTCCTCGACTTCAAAGTCACCAATGGTAATAGGGGAGCCCTCAGCCTTCAGCATCTCGGGGAACCACCTTTTGGCAGACCCCGCAAAGTCACCCCTTGCAATGTTAGCCGAACCAGGAATCAGGGCACCCTTGCCTCCGAAAGCCCCAACCATAAGCTTAGAGCGCTTGGAAAGAGGATCATCCTTTACAGAAGGGCGCTTGTGCCCCTGCTCGGATTGAACCTCCTTCTGTTTCTGGGAAGGGGGAAACTTACTCGCCTCAGCAAGGGCGTTCTTCCTCTCTTGCAGTAGCTGAGCAGCAGTCTCCCTCTCTTTCCTAGTCGTACGAGGTTTGGGAGGAGGAAATTCCATTGCAGATTGGGAAAGAAGTAGAGGGGCAGGCGAAACAAGGCTACCCTTAGTATCAGAACCTTCAAGGTCGATAGGCTCCTCGGGATTTTGAACAATCACAGGAAAATCCCTCGAGATAGCCTCAAGAAAAAAAGACGAGAGAAGTACCTGAGTGGAAGGAATGTCACCCTAAATGTTCGCTCACAAATACTCAAGTCAAATATCTGCAAATTTCGAAGGGAAAAAGTCAGTCTTGTGACCCAAAAAGTCATAAATAAAACAAAAAATGCTTCATAACACAGACAAAGTAAGAAGACTCGCCCGAATCATCAAATGCAGGAACGAATGGAGCATGAAAGCTCGTCCGGATAAAGAATTCCTGAGCAGATGAAGAGCGCCACGCCCCACCAACTTTAACAATTTTATCTTTCTACTCCTTATCAGAATTGTTAAGATGAGAGAAAAGGGCTCTACCCGGCCTAAAATGAAAGTGGAACCTACCCTCTCTACCTTTTGTTCTATCAAGTGTATAGTAGAATAAAAAATCAGCAAGATTTAAGGTCAAACCTCAAACCTTATTCAAAGCAAAAAGGCAAGAGAGGATGCGAAAAAAAATTAGGGTTGACCTGAAGGGGGGCCAAATTCAATACCATTAAAACCCGAAGATAGAAAGGGTTAAGGGGAAATCAGAAGGTAGGGAAGTGTAACGCCGAGAAGAGCATCTCGCCCTCTTCCAAACCCTCGCCGGTACTAAAGTTCAAATTGTAATCATACTCCTCAAGGGTAACATCAGAAGGAACGCAACTTTTCTTTCTCAACTGTGCAATTGAAAAAGATCTTATTTCTATAATATCCATAGGGAGGATTATGAGACCCTCGACATAACCACTTGAACTTACCGCCGTAGTCCCCGACTCAGAATCGGATGTATGAGCACTATGAGTTCGTTCGCTACTTTCTTGACTCATAATGACAGAAAGAGGAAATTGAAGAATAACTAACCTCGACAGACGAAAGAAGATGACGCAGCAGCGGTCGGATTCTTATTTAAACTCAGAGACGGGATCATAGACGCAAATACCAGAATGATGAGAACACAATATTTAAGGCAAAGCGAAGCATATGGCGAAGAAGCGAGCACGAGACCCTAAAAATCTAGAGCACAAATGGTAATGATAAGCACTAACAATCGCAAAAACTTCTCCATTTCCTAAAAACAGTTACAATTCCGTATATAAATTCAATTCATAAAAGGAATTGGGGGCAAAGTGTGGAGGAAAAATTCCCCACCAATCACAGCACACCACGTATCAATGAGTGTACAGCCCATTACTAACTAGAAGCCCAATAAGGAAAGTCCGCAAATATGTCATGTCGGCCCTATTAACGAAGGAAGCTCCACTTGACATGAAGCGGGCCAGGGAAGAGCCCAAGTGCGGCTAACCCAAAATTCTATAACACCCTAAATGCCCACGTTCAAAAAACTGCCAGTAAAGGCTCCATGTAATTCTCTGTACAAGCCTATAAAAAAAGTATGAATGAGAAGATAAGGAATCGAATTCCAATCAGACTGTTCTCTCTTGTCAAAGTTGTCCATCGTCTCTATCCTCTTGTTCTTAATTTCTTCAATTTATTTTATTAAATGTTTGGGTGTAAAAAACTGCACCTACACCCTCATATAATTTTGTTGCACGTGTGAAACCTTATGTATAAAGAGACTCGAATTTGAAAGTTCGCTCAGAGAATCTTAAAATTTTAAGAATCTCATAACCGGCCTTGATTGATTAAGGCGAAGATATGAGTGAGAGAGAGGGGGGGGGGGGATGGGTTGATCCAATATTTAGAATTATTTTAATATATATATTTTTATTATGGGACAGATGTCTACATCTTGTTGACTAAGTTAGCGAAGAAGGACAGGTCACAAGAATTGTCCATAATCCTATATACAAATACATATGAATTATTGCGTTAAGTGGAATGGAACAATCGATGCACTTGGACTAGACACACGTCTATATTCAAATACATATGTATTATATAAGGACAAAACTTAATTATCTACGACCTATTTATTTTATACTCTCAGCTAATCAACATTTGATTATTTGGGCCCCAAATAAAAAAGCCTTTTTCTAAATTAAAACCAAGATGCATGTATATATTTGTTCATATATAAAACCTCTCTCAAACTCAAAGAAATTTTGTTAAGCCTAGCAAATTGTACAAAATAAACCCTCAAATATATTATAAAAAATGGAGCAACCTGATTCCCTAAAGCAAATGAGTCAAGATGAACTAATATTTTAGCTGTTAAAATAAGAAATTTCAAAAGAAGAATAAAAAATCCAATCACGACTCAATACTAGTAGAATAATCCTTCTAACAAAACAAAATTTTGAAAGGAAACATACTTGACTCCACACGATTAAAAAGGAGCCTTCTTCATATAGCTGATGTGACATAATTATAGAAAGAAATATATCCATCTAAAGTTTTTAATGTAAGAGAAATTTGAGAGTTCTTTAATCTATCTTTTACGTATTTTAAAATTTTAAAAGAAGACGTGTCATCTTGTAAGCTTCTTTCTCACAAACGCAAGCATCTGATTTTGAGCTTTCCACAGAGAGCTAATGCTATCAAAATTAAAAATTGAGGGAATTTTATACACAGGCTTGTTTGGCAGTCATTTTCTCTTTTGTGTGTTTTGTTATTAAATTGATGAAAAAGTTAAATAAATCACCAAAATTCATTTAGTAATATTTGTTACATTTTGCAGTTAAATAAGTCCCGAAGGTGGCAAATTGCAACAGCTCGATATCGATCGATGAGACTTAGTCATCATTGATTCTACTAGACAAAAAAAGTTGCGGGAATTTTTACTCAAGTACGTTTAACTGCGGAGTTCTGATGGGATTCGACAAATTAGTACTGGTATATATGATCGCACCTTTACAGACAATTATTTTTATAAATCTTTTAAAACAGTTTTTTTGTTTTCTAAGTTTTTAAAAACTGTTTTTAAGTGACAAATCAAACAAACTCAAATAGTTGGTGATTTATTTTTAATTTATTTTAAAATTTGGAAACAATAGAGGAATACTGTGAGGCTTCTTCGAATGTAGAGAACAATCACTCACACAGTATTGTGTTTGCTTGTAATTGCTCAAACTTTTTATGCTTAGTTTGTTCCACCATCTTCCTATACTCATCCTCTCCCTGGCATTGGTTCATTTTGTAGTGCAAATTGATACTTCTGGGTGTTTAGTGCAATTTGGCTAATAAAATAACTAATAATAATACTAGTAAAAGCTGTAGAGAAATATGAGGAATATATTTATTTTATTATATAAATGACCTCAGAACGTGTCTAGAGGTCAAAACCTTCGTACACATACATACTCATTAATTGGTCTAATACATAAAAATATGCATGGACCTATTCACAACTACTACCATGAGGTCCATGATCAATACATGAAAATATATAATCAAACCCATCTTTGGTTCTTCGCGCCACTTCTTTTCTTTCTGATCTAAAGCAGCAATACTTCCTTTATTTTGATATATATTCTCTTTACCTGCAAGAATATTTTGAGCTTCTGTCACTAATTGGACCATTTCGTTTACATATTTCTTAGAAAATTGTATAGTTAATATTAGCAAAATATGATAATGTGGCATGAATAAATGGAAATATAGCTAGTATATATAGTTTTAACCTTACATTAGTAGTGGTGAGGAGGAGGAGGTGAACTATAATGGTAATGGTGGGGTGGAGACTTATACACCGGTGGCGGCGGTGGTGGGGACTTATATTTGTAAACTGGAGGAGGAGGAGGAGACTTGTACTTGTAGGGCTCCTTGGGTGGTGGTGGTGGTGGAGACTTGTAAATTGGTGGAGGTGGTGGAGGAGACTTGTAAATTGGTGGTGGTGGTGGAGACTTGTACTTGTAGGGTTTCTTAGGTGTTGGTGGTGGTGGAGACTTGTAAACAGGAGTAGGTGGTGGAGGAGACTTGTACTTGTAAGGCTTCTTTGGTGTTGGTGGTGGTGGAGACTTGTAAACTGGCGGAGGAGACTTGTGAACTGGTGGTGGTGGTGGAGACTTGTACTTGTAGGGTTTCTTGGGTGTTGGTGGTGGTGGAGACTTGTAAACTGGAGGAGGTGGTGGAGGGGACTTATACTTGTAGGGCTTCTTTGGTGTTGGTGGTGGTGGAGACTTGTAAACTGGATGAGGAGGTGGGGGAGACTTGTACACTGGTGGTGGTGGTGGCGGTGGAGACTTGTACTTGTAGGGTTTCTTGGGTGGCGGTGGAGACTTGTAAACTGGAGGTCGTGGAGGAGGAGACTTATATTTGTAGGGTTTCTTGGGTGGATGTGGAGGGGATTTGTGAACTGGAGGAGGAGGTGGTGGGGACTTGTACTTGTAAATCGGCGGTGGTGGTGGTGGAGACTTGTATTTGTAAACTGGTGGTGGTGGTGAGTGCACTGGGGGAGGAGGAGGTGGTGGTGGTGATTTGTAATGGTAAGGAGGTATTGGTGACTTCTTAGGAGGTGGTGGAGGAGATGAGTAATGGTAGTTTGCTGTGGTTTGTGACGGCAAAGTAAGAGACACTATTGCCACTAGAAGAGTGGTAATGAGAGAGGCCATTGTAGACCCCTTTCCTTTTCTTCCCATCATCTTCACTAAGAAATGGGATTTTGGATATGCTATCAACCAACCACCTCTCCCCTTTATATAGCTAAGGGTTTTACCATTTAACACAAATTTATCATGGTAAAATGTAATTAATTAAGAAAATAGCGGTACCAAATTCTTATTTTTCAAAAACAAATTAGAAATTTAAGTCTCAGTAAAAGCATGTGTGTATAAATAGAAAGGAAAAAAAAAAAAAAAAAATGTGACACATATCTATATTTGAATGGGCTGTCATTAATGTCGCCACTTTTTAGTCGTGGATAATAGTTTAATATAGGCTGTGAAATGGAATAAACTAATAGCGTGAATAGTATTATTAAACCTTTATTATTATATAGTTATTAAAGAAAGAAAAAGAAAAAAATAAAAATAACAATTTGAGAGCTTTGGAAATGTGTGGCACTCTTACTTAACTTTTTCATGACTTTTTGGCACTCATTTCTCTTTAAATATTACTGTATTTATCATTTTTAAAACGTTTGATATCAAGTACATTTTTAAAACGTTTGATATCTTTACATATTTTAATAAATCGATATTTATTCGAGTCCGTTATACTGTAATAGTGGTTGATATGTTACATTGCGACTTTGAATCACGGGAAAAATAAATAAATAAATAAAAGGCAGGCTTTGGAAACGTGTGGCACTCCTACCTAACTTTTCTATGACTTTTTGGCTCAAAGGACCAGGCGGCTTTGACTATCATACGTGTACCCCTTTCTCTCTAGGTAATTTTTATTACACACTCTTAATAATTTAGCCTCCTTCTAATTAGCGGCTACAATCACAAGCTAGCCAAACCAAGCTTAAGGTCTAAATTTGTCATATGTTGTTATGTTAATTAAGTTAGTTATGGATGTCCTCATGCATATGTACGTAGTCCAGGTACATTTTGGGATATAGAAATGATCAATGGTTCAAGTTCAACATTTAGGCCTAACTATTTTAGACTCTAAATAATTTATTTTATATTAAGGTCGCCTAACCAATTTTGGTAAACAACTAATCAACATATAATTTATTTTTTCTTGCCAAGAAATTCACACAGCTACTTGCTCATATAGGAACTTGGATCCTCATCTGTTATTTTATTTAAAAAAATTAAGGAGATACTACTAGACTATAACTATTGAAAGTGAATCATCATATTTATATCTCAATCATTAAAGAATACGCACGTAGTGAAACATACCTGAATCTTGTCTCAGACAAATTTCTATAGTGTATTTTGTTATGCATATGCAACACTATTATTTCGATAATGCAACTTCGAAGTATAGGTGCTGCATCATCGAAGCATGTTGTTGTTGTGCTGCAATTCAAAGTAATGTGTTGTGTGCGAGCTAGTTACTATTAGAATGTTTATCAAGTTTATCATAATGCTTTCTTTGAGGTGAGAAATTTTCAGTTGAAGTGGCGCTATGAAGAGATCCTTGTTTGAGGCGGAGTTATAAAGAGATTCTTATTTGAGGTGGAGCTATATCAAAGCACATACGTGAAGAAATAGTTTGATCACGTGTTGATTATACGAAGAATTGGGATGCTTAAAGTTGCTGATTTTGGTATGCACTTTGGCTACCTCCAAAGTTGAAACAGTTTAGTGGCTTTGAATTGGTTCAAGTGTGGCATCTACTTTTGGCTACTGCCAAAGTTGAACCTATTCAAATGGGGCTGAATCGATTCAACTTGGACAGTTAGTTATTGGAAGCTAGGTGCGAGAAACAGTTTCCAAATCAGTTTTGGAAGCCAAAAGACTTGGGAAAATGCTGAAGATTTGGGAAAAAAGTTGTACTTACTATTTTAGAGTTGAAGACGGATATGACAACTCCTTGTAGGCAAGTTGGAGAATACTTGCTTAACAAGGAATTGGATTTTGAAAACTCTATAAATATGGGTTTAAAGAGAGAGAGAGAGTTGAGATTGTGAGAAAGAAAAGAGTGTGTAATTAAGTCTTTGAAGTAAAATTAGTCGTTCTTCAATCGTGGACTAGTCAATTTGTCAAACTACGTAAATCTCGTTTCGCTTGTGTGTATGTATTTTTATATGTTATATTTGCCAATTGTATATGAAACCCTAACAGTTACATAAATATTGTATCGGTGTTGTATTTTTTAGATGCGCACAAAGTTCGATTTGATCCGATTTCAAAATGAATCAAAGACTATAAATTAGACTACGTTTTTAAAAATAATGAAATCGCATAAAACTCATACGATCCGGTTCGGCCCGTAATCAGAACATATCGTAATATTGAAGTCATTAGAGTATACTGTAATCAGCAATTCTTCAATTTTTATAACCAAAATTAAATTGTTTGACTATAAAATTGGACCAAACTCACACGATTCGGTTCGGCTCATCGGATTTATTGATTCTAATAATTTTTTTTGTGCACTATCGCATTTTTAATGTAATGGTATTGCATTATTGAGGAAATAATAAAGCTTGAAAACACTAAATTGTAGCGGAGAGGATTCATATTCGTAAGGAGAAAATGAAGCACCAAACAGTGGCTTAAGAATTCTTTCTCTTTGCACGAGACTTGGCATTCATCAATTCATGCAATCAGCTAACCTATGTGGACTAGTTGGTAAAGACCGAGTAAAGTGGCATTATCTTCAAATAACATAGATTGAAGCTTGTTTTCATACTCTTCTTTTTAATAAATGTATTTCATTTTAAAGTGATTTATTATTATTATTATATGAAAATAGGAACATTTAGAGCATCTCTAATGGAAAATGATATTTTTTCATGTCAAAACTATATTTTGAGAGGAGGTACAATATCAAAATGCTATATTTTAAAGCTTACCTTTTAACAAAAAAAAAAAATGTTATATTTTAATAATTCTGTTCCAATTGTGCATTTCATTCAAAATGATATTTGGAGTGTATTATTTTCATCCATCTGCTATATTTTGAGAAACGGCACCGTATGAAAAAATAGAGACCTCATAAAAAATTTGAGACCTGTTTTATATAACAATACTTTTGATAATCTCAAAATATAAAAAGTCTTTTGAGAGCCTATCGGGATGTATTATTTTTATCTACCTGTTATATTTTGACTTTAAGCGACTATCAGAGATTTTTAAAAAAAGCTAAAATAGAAGAAGAAGTGAATGCGTTTATAAAAAAGGGAGTCTAAATGTCAATATCATCTACCACAATAAATAGATGGATCCATGTTTCTTTAACTTTTTGGTGCCTGAATTTTCTCACAATTAAGTAAAGATTTTCCTCACCTAATTGTTTTAATTACTTGACATTGCAGTCCATCATCACATCCTTTCAAAATAGAAGAAGTAGTGAATGCGTTTATAAAAAAAGGGAGTCTAAATGTTAATATCATCTACTACAATAAATAGATGGATCCATGTTTTCTTTAACTTTTTTGGTGTCTGAATTTTCTCACAATTAAGTAAAGATTTTCCTCACCTAATTGTTTTAATTACTTGACATTGCAGTCCATCATCACATCCTTTCAGCACATATTTAAAGACTTTATTTCCTCTAAAAGACAAGCGTAGGTATATTCACCGTCATAAAGTGGTCCTCATATATAAGAAAGTAAAACAAATCAAGAATTATAAAATCGAAAGCAAATTCAAAAGCTATTAAAAGCAGTTACGCAACCTCGATCTACAACCTTTTTTTTTTTTTTTTTCGGTAAATACCTCGGTCTACAACTTGTACAAAACTTTAATCTAAAAGATTGATAAATCACTTGACAAGATTGTAGATCAGAATTATATTATGTGAATATTTTTAATTATTATTATTAGTATTTAAGCAGACACATTTTACTTCACTTGCAACTTCAACTCTGCACCTACTCCTTAAAGTCAATATATACAATGTGACATTTCTATTACTTACCAAAAAAAATTGTGACATTTTTATTTATTTATTAAGGTAAGTGAACTTGTATTTATTATATGATCTATTATGTTAATTGAAAAGCAGATGTTAAAACCAACACAAAATATGTCTTAGAAAATGAAAAAAAAAAAAAAAAAAAAACACCCTCTATTTGCTTAGGCCTTGGCCTAGCTAGTTTGTTTTAATTGTATATTTACAAAAAGTATTGACAAAATAAGGGGCAGTAACTTAGAAATATTATTCAACAAAAAAAAAAAAAAAACACTTAGAAATATCTTTTTTATATTCTCTCCAAATAATAATAATAATAATAATAATGACTCCGGACTCACAAGTCACGGCTATGAGTTGTGTTTCCTCCAAACACTCGGTGAGTTAGGAGTCTTCGATCCTATAATTATTCTAATAAAAATATAATTATAATAGTGTGAAGGTTTTTATATATAGAGAGAGATATACATACAAATCTATGAAACAAATACCAAATTATAACAAATTCACCGACACTGAAAAGCATGCAAAAGTCAGATATGGAGTACGTGCATTATATATATAATTTTTACAGCTGTGCTTTGATATATGGTACTTTTGACTGGGAGGGTTTGATTGAGATGACGAAGGTCAGCGATGTAGCATTAGTCGTAACACATTGATTGTTGTTTGGAATTGGACAATCTTTCATTTGCTTTTCCTCTAAAAGATGATCATTGTCTTACCATTGGGTGGTAACACATGCCCCATCCCACATTTTCATGCCGCTAAACACGGAACTGAATGTGAAGATAATATATATATATATATATCATATCATAAATTTTTGGAAAGTAATTTTGTATGTATTAAATCTCGATATGTATAATATATATAATTTTTTCTTAGGTGAATATAATATAATTATATACACATCATATGTAGAGAAGTAAGGCAATCTTTTCTCTTAGTCGTATAAGCTTTGAAGATGTCACTGAGAGGTAAATATTATATATTCATATATATTGTAGACACTAAAATTTTAGTGGACTTTAATTTGGACAAATGGACCCATTAAATATGGGCCCAATGTTTAATTAAGTTATTTAATTGGCCCAAGTATGGTCCACTTAAATTATTTAATTAAGCTCA